TTTTCGCTTCCTTAGGTTGTCAGTTACCGCACGGGCATCTTGGCGAAATGTTCTTCGCGGAAGATTTTGCAAGAAAACGTAACTATACAAACATTTTACATATTTTATGAATTTAACTTTTCATGGGTAAAAACCATAGAGTTCAAAATTGATAATGTTAAAGATGCATGTCTCCAGATGAGCCAAAATATTTCAAGAAAATAGAACATGTGAAAAAATGAACTTGTATATACTAGTAAAAAAATAAATATTTCATTAATCAACTATAAAAGTTCATGATAAATCGGTAGATCATTTTGAGTAACGAAACTTCACAGTATAATCATGCAATATACTAAGAATATAATGGTTAAGTATAATTTAGGAGGCAATAATTAATATCCACTGAATGCCTTTTCTCTCTTATTTTTCAGGATAACTTGTTTGGTTTTACTCATTGTCATCATCATTCTTGGAATTTGTTCTCTTTGCAATGTGTCGTCTGCAAATATATCAGAAACAAGACACGAATTGCCTGTTCTTCGCGATTACTTAAATGTACAAAATGAAAGAACTCGACATAGTGATATTGGAATAACTAAACGTTCTGAATATAATGCAAAACAGACTATAGCACAAGGTTCTGAACATATTGTGAAACAGACTTTAGAACAAAGTTCTGAACATGATGTGAAACAGACTTTAGCACGTGATGATTCAAAATGGGAAGTCGGAAATCGAACATCAATGAAGCCAAGTACTCAGAGAAAAAATCCTGTGACGCATATAGGATTTTTGAAAGTTCACAAAGCCGGGTCCACTACCATGCAGAATCTGCTTTTCAGATTTGCATTAAAGCACGGTTTAAATATTCTAGTCCCAAAACGTAAGGGGAGCAATTATTTCAACCACTTAGATGACAAAATTCCTCTGAAGTCTGGAAAACATTACGATATATTTGCATGCCATACTCATGGTTACCAGAAAGGTTTTTTTGGAAGTCTTCTTCCGAATGATTCGGTAAATATCGCCATAGTTCGTGAACCATTAAGCCGCATGATAAGTTCAGCTTATTATTACAGAGACGTGTTCGGCGTTCCATACTTGAAAAAAGTACCAGAGAAGGGTTTTATAAACAATCTTATAAATTCACAAAAGAAATATGATAAAAATCTATTTTCACACACGAGAAACTCGATGGGGAGAGATTTCGGGCTTCGAAATAGGACGGACAAACATGACTTAGATTTACCTGTGATACTTAAAGAGTTAAACGAAGAGTTTTATTTTGTTATGGTCATGGAAAAATTCCACGAATCCCTTATAATGTTAAAACGGCTTCTCGGGTGGTCATTCTTAGATATCTTATATCTGAAAACAAATTCACACGAACACAACTCTACAGTTTTGACGGAGCAGGAAATTAAAAAATTCAGAGATTCGAATTACATAGACGTCGCAATATACGAGTATTTTTATGATGTATTTGAAAAGAAATTAGCGAGAGTCGGCCAGGACTTTCATCATGAGGTAGCATTCTTTAAAACTCTTTTACAGCAAGTGTACGAATTTTGCGAATTCAAAGCGTCGACAGATGACGATGCAATATTATCAATAGAGTTGTCCAAATGGGAAGAAAAATTCGAAGTGACAAAATTCGACTGCGTTCTGATGCGTACTCACGAAGTATCTTTTATTTCAAAGCTTCGTGCCAAGTACCTGCGTGAATCGCCAGGTTTTCGTATTCGGTAGTTTCTTATAAGTTGAAGGAATTCAATTGCGGCGATATTAAAGATGGCCATACCTATACACCATACCTATAATTAAAATAAAAATAAAACCAACGATAACGACGTTCTGCCTGACGTTAAAGCATAAGAGCTGATGGCCATTTAATCAAATGTTATGTCCAAATCTGAAATTTACATCACAGCAGGCATGTAGCCTTTCCGTGACAAAAATCCAAATTTTACACAATTTCGCTTTCACAACGCTTCAGAATCCAAGATGGCATCCAATATGGCGCTCAGCTCTTCGTGTATTATTATCAGAAATGACACCAAAGATGTTTTTTAACATATTATAGCTGTTTATAATTGTAATAAATGCACCAATATTGTGGTTCCACATTTTCTATAATAAAATAATGAATTTTACTTTTATGTTGGATTTGTAGTTTCATGCTATTCTACAAAATAAAACTATAATCGACAGGTCGTACTTGATCTGTAAGCGCACTTATAAGGAGCGTCTTAAGTATTTGTTAGTAGGGGAAGTCATATATAATGGACAATGTTTAAAAAGTAATTTGAAAATATTTTTTAACTAGGCTAATATTTTATTCTAGACACTCTTACAAAAATAACAAAAGTTAATCATCTTTTTTGAGAAAACTGATAATTTAAGTAAAACTTGTATATTTGATCACATAGAAGAACAACAACTTTAATGTTCTCGTACAAGTCTTTACAACAAACAAAACCAAAGAAGGCATATTTGACGAAAACGATTTGTTAATTGAAACATGTTTCCGTCAATTTAGAAGAAATATAGTCACTTAGATGAATGTGATTTACCAATCCGATTTTGAAATGTTCTAGAAATCATGAAATAAATACAAAAGAGTGCACTGATATATAACATTGCAAAAAATACTTAATTTGAGATTTTTAAAAAAAAAGATAAAACATTATAACTATGACTTAACCAAATAAAAAGAGGAAGAAAATGCAAAAACTACCCCATGCAACTTTAACTCATGTCCCATCTAAACTCAATTCCCTCAAAGAAAATGAATACTCTTCAGAAAAAAGGTTCTCTTTTTTGTACGAGCATGACTGTCTTTAATGACCATCTGGAAGTTACATAGATTAACATGTGCACGACGGCAGGCAACTATAAAATCAAAGGAGAATGGCTATTTTGATGCATGTATGACAATGTGTTTAAGGATATTCTAAGACTTCTAAATATATTAATGCCACAGCTACTTCCGATGACGATATACCATAGGCAAGTTATTTCTGTTCCTTGTGAAGATTTAAATGACTTAATAAAAGTGGGTTATAATTTTGCAAGGTCATTTTCAAATCAATTTTTAGACTGAAAACTGGAAAACGGATAAAGTATATCATCGGTCATTCTAAAATTAGTAAAATAATGTAAAGGAGTTTCGGAAACGAACTTTCCGTCGCAACTTTTCGGTCCTTTTCTCAGTCCTCGGATATGGACCATGAACGGAATCCTACGCTCAGAAACTTAACGTGTAAACAAACAGTAATTTAATGATTGGAGTTGTTGACAATTATCCAATATATCAAGTAAATGTCCACCTAAAATAAGTAAATTCATAGATATAGTAGTAAACGATTCGTTATTTACATACTTATTATTATGTTAATAGAAACCGAAAGTACAAAATGTTACCTGATGACATTCAAGTCGGATTTGTTTAAAGGTTACGAGTATATTTAAATTAAAAATGGTTGTCTCTAACCCCTCGTCCACGGAGACGGTCTCATGAATGAATGAATCAATGAATCAATGAATGAAATATAAATAAACCAAATTTTGACGCTGGTTTAAAAATACTACAAACATCATTTTTGGCGTATTTGATTCCAAAGGGCACGAATCCTACAAAAATAGCTAACTTGTCGCAGCATTTACTTCCCCTGATCAGAATAGTAGCGATTTTGTGACACAGTCACCGTGGAGGGAAATGAAAATATGAAACACCGAAAAGCTTTTTCCTAATGTGCATCCCACCTACTCCATCTACGGAAATGTTTTTTTTGTTTTTTTTCGTGAACTAAAACGTATTAATAAAAATTCTTGAAAAATCCGAAAATCGATTTCCATGCATTAGTACTAAAGTACTTTGATTTAAAGCGTAAAAGATTGGGTTATTCTATTCCACAGTATTTATCGGAATTGCATCAAATGACATCGCCACGCAATATTTCTTCGTAAAGCAAAAATTATATTAAAAAGTACTCGTATTTCACTAACGCAGAGGCCATGTATATTATCTATAACAGTTACTGTCAGGAAACGGGCGAATCAATATGGCATTTGCAGCAAAGAGCGTTTCCAAGGAAAAAAGAAGTTATCTACAGGTGACATTAACTAAATGTGACAATGTTTCCACAATACTGTCAAATTTCAAGAAAATATACATTTCCTTTCACGGCGCGTGCGTGTCACGTGAAAAAATCTATTTATAGATAAAAAAGACATTCTCCATTTGCCAATATTGCGTTTCAGAAGAAAAGGGAAAAAATAAGAACAAAATAATAAAACCATGCTTGTGATGAAATAGGAAACAATTCCAATACCATATAAGATATCTTGCCAGACATCTGTGTTTTCATGGTGACCAATATTATAAATATCATTAATGTCGAGGGTTGATCAATAAACTGAGAAAGTCACAAGGTACAGTACAAAGCACTGGTCGAGAGGACATATTTTTACCAAAACTATGCGAAGTGAATGTATACACGAAGTGAACCCCTTTGCAATCGGATCTACCATGTGTACTACATGTTGTTTTATACGACAAATGATAAATATGAATGAAACTCATTGTTACTAACTTGACACGGTGGCCATTTTTGTGTTAATACGTCATTAATTCGCCTTATGAGTTAAGTTCACCTCTCCTTTTCGGCGGTAAAGTATATGTGTAAAAGTCAAAAAGTTCCAACATATTTATCAAAGTTTTATATACCCTATTTTATAACAACACATGTCACTTTCATTAGTTACCTTGAAATGTTACATCGGAATTACTTTGATATTCATGAGCCAGTGTTTCGCCGGATGGTGCGATGAACAAAAAGTAGTTTCTGTCTTTGGTTGATGGATAATTTCCTCTTTTATAAAATATTGAGCTTTTAAAAAAAAATCATTTTACAAAACAACCGTGCAAGGCCGCATATAGAACAACGGGAATTCTTTGAGCGCATTATGTGATTAATACATTCTGTTCTTAATTTGTTATTATTGACTAATAAAATGTGGTCGTATAAAAATCGGACGCGTAATGTACATTAAGATATCAACACATGGCATGAACTATAGAAATAAAACAACAGGAAAACATTAAATAAACAACGCCCAGAACGGGCAAGCTGAGACTGTTCATGAGGGTAGTGTTAAATGCAAGCTGCCACCCAATGCCCCTTGGAATTTGTAAGCATCCGCAGATGTGTTCTGATTGAATCTTTAAAGCGACACCTAATTGCCATCCCATGGAAATTGACTTATTGGGGGAACTTTTTGGGGAACCCTTCTTACTTCTATCATTATGGCTTCAATTTTCATTATTAAACTGTTTTATTTTTAGACGCCCTTTAAGATGATCGTGTCCGTATTTATGTTATACAAGTTGGAGAGAATTTTCTTAGTGAAATTAAATAGTGAAATATTATATAGGTATATGAAAGTAGGGAATAAGACGGAGGGCTTAAGGTAAGACATTTTTTTTTATTTTCATCAATATACTGGTAAATTACTATAATGCTGTCGTTGTTTTTATTTTTTTATGCAAATATCTTTTATTTTCATTGGTTCAAAACTATTTATCTGCTGAAAAAAAATTCTTTTTGATTTTAGAAAAGAATGCCTCACGTACAGTACTTGTATGAAGAATTATGCTTGTACCTTTTTTTCTGACAGCGAATGACACGCGAATGAAATCATTGCTCAACAGTTGAATCATATTAAAATAGCAGCATGATAATAATTTGTTCCAGAACAGTTTATTCCGTTTATGTGTAGTATTTTAATGCGTTAAATGGAGTTTTTGACACGATTAAACTGAAAATATTTTTTTCTAGGTTATTGTTCCATTTGATGTAGGTCTAGACAAATAACTTGTGCGCAGAATTTCAGATCATTCGTTCACTATATTTATTCTGTAACATAATTCTAATTTTGAAAAAATGACTCAAAATTAAAAAGCGTTGCAACGTTTTTCACTCAAATCGGGATTAAAATATCTTAAAAAGTACGATTTTCAATTAATTTATGAGTAGGGTTCTTAATATCTTTAGCATATCTTTTTGTTTTAATTAAGTAACCCTGCTAATCTATGTACTAGATAAGAAATACAAATTATATATTTTTCTTACTTTTGGACCTCAGTGGAAATCTCGTACGTGACATTTATTTAAAGAATCTACCCTAACAATATGTGAACAACAAAATTAAATGGTTTGCTATTTCAGAAGATACGGCTTTGTACATTTAACGAGCAATTTTTTGTTCATTTTACATGCATATTTTTTCTTAATTGAGGAACGGTGATAAACACAGATAATTTAAATGTATGTATCCAATAATAAAAATACTTGTCAAATCTGTTAGTGCTGCGTTAAGTAAATTTCGTTTGTCAATATACACACAATTTTACGACTTTTGAATAAGTAACTTCTACAGATTCTGACTGAAATGGATCACTTTTCTGGTTGTCTTTTTTTCGCAGAATTCATTTGTTTTCGTCTTGTTGGGCGGCATTTTGTTCACGAATATCAAATTCATTAAATTTCGGTTTGTCGCGCGGTGTCTAGTACTGAAATCGAAATTATTATAAATAAATGTGATCTGTTAACTTTTGTCTTTATAGACATCGGGAAATGTTGTAAAGAATAAGTTAAAAAACTTGTGATTTGCTGAATATTCTTCGTGAGGCCTCTAAAACGAATAATAAAGAAAAGTGATCTACTATAGTTAACTAGTATTGTTAATAAGGACGTCATTTAAAATAAATAAGAAATATTATTTGTGAGAACACCGGCTATATATAGTTAGAGTAGTGATGTACTTACCATTTTTGTGAGGACACCGAGTAAAGTGATGTACAGCCATTCTTTACGAGGAAACTGTCAATAAATGAGCCGCGTCACGACAAAACCAACATAATGGGTTTGCGACCAGCATGGATCCAGACCAGCCTACACATCTGCGCAGTCGGATCAGGATCCATGTTGTTTGCTTACCAACACTATTACAATTAGAGAAACTGATAGCGAACAGCATGGATGCTGATCAGACTGCGCGGATGCGCAGGCTGGTCTGGATCCATGCTGGTTGCAAACGCACTATGTTGGTTTTGTCATGATGCGGCT